CCTTTCTTGAAGATAAGCACCACATTGGCCTTCTTCCAGTCTTCGGGCACTTCACTGGAGTGCCAGGAGTTCTCGAAGGTAGGTGCCAGGGGCTGAGCTATGATGCTAGCCAGCTCCTTGAGTACCCTGGGGTGTAGATTGTCAGGGCCGGCTAACTCGAAGGTATCCAGCTTCTCAGATTGTTCCTTCACAAGGTCACCATTGATGGAGGGCAGGGAATCTCCCTCACCCAGGCCTCCCTGTCCTGTAATGGGCAGGAGCGTCCCGTGGGACTGATGAAAGACAGACACAAATTACCCATTTAGTAGGCTGGCTTTTTCCTGGGAGTCGGTTGTCAGTTGTCCCATCTGGTTTAGCAGGGGTCCAATATTGCCCTTGCTTTTCCTCTGGCTCACTACATGTCTAAAAAAGGACTTTTTATTATCCTTGATACTTGTAGCTAGTTGGAGTTCAGTCACACCCTTGGCTTTCCTGGTTTGCTCTCTACAGGTTCAGACCAGTGTGGAATATTCCTCCTTGGAGGTGGATCCTGTCCTCCATTCTTTGTAGATCTTTCTTTTTAGCCGCAGGTCCGCTAGTTCCCTGGAGAGCCAAGGGGGCTGCTGTGCCCTTTTGCTGCCTTTCCTCTGAGATGGAATGGACTTAGCTTGTGCATGAAGGATCGATCCCTTAAGGAGCAACCACTCTTCCTGAACTCCCCTCCCCTTGGGGTCATGGTCCCTTAGGGCCTCACTAACAGGCCTCCTGGGTTTATCAAAGTCAGCTTTCCTGAAGTCGAGGACTTCTGTATTGATGACTGACTTGCCAGCTTTACAGTGGATGGTGAAGGTGATCAGCTTGTGGTCGCTGTCACCCAGCTTCCCTTCTATCGTTAGGTTGCCGATTAGGTCGTCCCCGGTTCCCAGTACCAGGTTGAGCAGCGGTTTACTCTTCTATCCCTACTCAAAATCACTAATGATTATCTTTAGTCTACCCACTCAAAATCTCATATGATTCCACAATTCTACATTTAACACACGGAATCAACCGTGTTCTGCATGAAAAGCACAACTGTGTCTAGTTCACAGCACTTACTTCTTGGTTTAAAAATTTCTGAAAATCCACAATTTGAATGAAATTCAATTTTAAAGAGACTTTTGAGAAATTTAGTGGACAGTCAAACTTATGCCAAATTACCTTAATAAAGTAACACCACACTCACATTTTCCATATAGCTCAGGCTCATTGAAATGTTTGTTAATATCTGAAAAGAGCTAGAAATTAAAGAACAATCACATTAATTATTCTGGATTATGGATCATTAGACAGCCAGGTCAATACCTCACATTTAAAGGCAAAATTTGAGCGTTTCCCAAATGATCACTATGCAGTCCTTTTCCAGCTAACTTGCATCTATTGCTCATGATGAGTCAGTGATGTGACAGGCACTGTACAGAGTCAAATCAAATTCTCAAAACTGATAGATTGTGCCAGTTTATCACTGCTTTTAACAATCTGGCTCCATGCTCAGACAGTAAGGACTAGACTCATCAGCATGCTCCAGCTGTTTTGTACTGCTTCAAATAATGCAAAGTAACTGTAATGTTGGTTAACTGTTTGGTGTACTCAAGCTGTTTTGGGTTGCTTTCAGGCAGCTTGAACATGCTAATTACATCTTAAAAGAGGGGGCCTCCTCAACACTAAGGATGTAGGAATGAAGTAAGAATCTTATATCATTATAACACCTATGCAATATGTACCTTTACTGATGTACATATAAGGCAGTATATTTTCCATCTTTTTAGAAGCTTTGAAAATGTTTAATTTATTTTTCATTCCAAGGCAGTTCCAGGAATTATATGCAATTGAGTCTATATCAGTTAAGGGTAAAATAGCCAGAAGAAAAATTATAAGGTAGGCAAACTATAGTAATAACTGTCATAGGAAATATTAACTGTTTCTATTTAACTATCTTTTACCAGAGAATTTTAAAAGCACCAAAGCAGAGAGCGACTTAAGATCACAGCATCAGGCAAAGCTCTGCACCCTGGCTCTGACTAAATCTTATTGCTTCCTCTATTTTTACATATGCAGCATTTGTTAAAATTTTCTAATTCCCTTTCTTATCAAAAACATTGAAGGGATTGTTGCACTTTCAAGAAGACTCAACTAAAGTCCCTCTCAAAGAATCAGTGGGGAAAAAGAACGAAAATGTAAAGTTCTGATACAGGCTTAAAACAGAAACTGATATGGGCCAAACACCTAGTTCTGTGGCAACATTAAATAGCAAGATATGCTGTATTAAGGTGCTCTTTACAAGAAGGGAAAGTTAGACATTAGTGTATAGCTCAAGTAAGCAAGCTCTCAGAGCATCAACAGTAAAACAATGCAGAATATAGAAAACACCCTGATCATGCTCAAAATGTTAGTACTCCTTACTACCTTAGAAGAACTGTCTGAGATCTCTTCAATTCTTTTAAGTGGTTGGTAGAAAGGACGCTTCAGTGAGAGTAAGGAAACTAGAAGCATTTTTCCAAAAGGAAGAAGATACAAGCCTGAGGTTCATATTTTCATAAGCCATATAGAGGTGTTACTTTTATACCAGGAAAAATCTCTGCTCTCCTGATACAAACTATAAGTGATAGTTTCTTTCTGGCATCAACTCTCACAGGAGCGAATGCTTGGATGCTCCCCTTCCAGAGTGGTCTGGGAGGGGGAAGGGAGAAGTATCTGCTGTTCCCTGTACTGTGGGGTTCCCATTTCCACCGCTCTGCTTAAGGGGGCTGGAGGCACTGGTTTTGAGCTTACCATGGGGGGGAATGCAGAGCATTGAGGGCCACCTGCCTACAGCCAAAGTTCTTCCGTGCTGTCTTTGAAGAGCAAAGATGCAAGAGCCACACAACCACAGCTGAAACTCTTGAAGTGCTGTGTATGGGGAAACTCACCTCCACACTGTACATTCAGAACCAGCACTGGCAACCCCACTGTTGAGGGACAGCTGCTTTCCAATGGCTCCAGAGACCAAGGGAATCCCTGATCTGGGAAGCAGCAAAGGACTTTATCCCACTACTTCAGCCTCCCAGGGCCAGGAAGAGCAGGGTAGAGGAAGGCCAGTGCTGGCTGAATACCTGTACTACTCCCACTGCCAGAACCATCTCTACCAGTGGAAATCTCTCAAAAACATCCATTGCTAGAAATGAATGCCTGTTCAAGATGACAGTGCATCACATTTAAAAGAAAAATTCTCTCATAGCCCATCTCTCTCATTTCACTATTAATTGGACCATATATCCCTTCCTGTTCCCTCCTTCCTAGTTTCCCCATGGAAACTACATCTGTTATTTACATAACAGGCAAATATTTTTAGATACCTTTTATGTGATCAAACAGCTGGAAATAAAGAACCATGATGTGACCAGACAGCTCTCCACAAACTTTGGTTTAGGAACTAACTTTGCTGTTAGAGTACTTGATACAAATAGTATGGAAAATATTTTCAATTTTAAAGTTAAATCAGTGGAGAAAGTAGTACTTTCTACAGAGCTAATCATCATCAGCCCATGGAACTCTCTTTGCTACCAAGTATTACTGTTGTAAATACAAAAGATTAAAACAAGAGGGCGATCCATTTGAAAGAATAACATATATTAATAAACTTGGAAGAAATGACATGTTAATTCTCATTATTTCAGGGCACGTGATCATAATCAGGTGATATGAAATGTATTCTCCCCTACAATCTGACAAATGAAGATAGTTTGACTGATGGCTTACACACTCCTTTTCTGAAGGATTTGATGTTTGTATTCTGTACAGTACAACCTTTTGGAGTTTTTTTTAGACTCAAAGCACTCCTTGGAAAATTGGTTTCAGTCACAATTTTTGACTACAGAAAAATAATAAGAGAATTCTTCTCTTGCAAAGAACGGAGAAAAACCACAACAGGCCAGACAGTTTTTAACACTATGGATTCCTATTTGAAATCTCTGGCTTTATCTTGTAAATCATGTTTATACATCTAATAATGCTAATGTTGTATGGCATCACTCTTGAAAGAATCTCAAGGCAACCCAGAGGTGTCATGGCATCATGATTGAGAATTACTGCTGTAGATTAGTAACCAGACTACACAGAATATTTATCTCCTTATCGCAGTTCCTATAATGAAAAGAAAGATGAGGAGGGAGCCTACAATGCACTGGCAACCAGAACCTGTAAATATGGCAGTAGCACACATTCTTGAAGACTAAGTGAAAAAGCATCTGATTACACAGAAGCCAGCAAGTCAGTCCATACAGTCCTGAATGCTGAGTGCCAGCAAGTCCGTCATTTCAAAGCACAGGAATTTTAAAAAATCTGATTTTGTTTTTAAATGAAAAATGCCTAGTTCAGCACACTCAGTGCCAATATCTTTCACTGACAATGCAATCACTGTTCCATATATAAGAACTCTGACAGAATTTTTAACATATTATATAATGCAATCAATTAAATACAACTAAGCATGTGTTCGAGATGGTCAGAATTTAGTAAATGGAGCCAAGACAGTATTTAAACCAACACAGCTTTAAGGAATTGACATCCTAACAAGATTTAGATTAAGAAAAATAAGCAGGGTTTTTTTTTTTTTACCATTTCAATTTTAATACAATTCCAAAAAAAGGTAAATGTTAATGCATGGCAATGTTTATTAAACAATCACATTTCATTTAAGCATAAAAATGCAGCAGTCTGGAAAAGCTGCCAGAAACAATGTTTGGTGTCAGAAAAGGCAATTATGAAATTACTTCCAATAAAATTCAAACAACACTCTCTTGTCTGTTGATTAGTTGAATGCTTTAGACTGGAAGGAACAAAAGTGCAAATTAGCTGAATGTTACTTAAAAAAAAAGTCTTAGTGTCCTACAAGCAATTACTGAAAGCCTCACCTTAATCTTGATGGTCAAGGAAAAAATTCTCCAATTCCAAACACAATATAATTAATTGCAGCACATTCAAACAATATGACATTACTACTAAAAACAAAATTAATTTCAGAATATGATTGCATTATACTGCTGGCCATGGCACAGTTTCTCCTCATTTTTCATCAAATTTGCTTGATTTGAGATGGAACAAGATACCCTTACTCATTGTTAAATTGGATGAATCCTATGGAACCACAGTTGGCACCACATAAGAACATTTTCTAAAGGCTTCAAAGTGTAATTTGTACTTCAGTAATATGTTATTATTGCAGGAAAAAGTAAAAGACCATATTGCAACATTCATTCTTAATCTCTATTCTGCTGATATTTTTAACAAAAAGAGCCATTACAGAGGTTGCTCAATGATCAGCTCATCTGTTTGGTAGAAGCTGAATCTGTACTTTAAGTGCACCCTTCAACGAAAGATCCCGAGTAAATGGACAAAGGTGAACACATCTGCTTTACGAATAGCAAAATTGGGGAACTCAATTTAGCTGAATTTCCCAAAAGTCAATGCAATGAGGCAGTGACAGGGCTGGAAATAAAACCTGGGTACCTATTCAACTCCCAATTCCATATGGATATCAGTTCATCTAATGAAACAATAGAAGATCACGGATAGCTATTCTGAAAATATTCAAAGAATTTCTGAATATTTTTTTAAATGATTCCAAACAGAAACCTATTTTAAATATAGCATGGAGACATGTTCTTATATGGACAGCCACTGCTAGTAACTGAACAATTTGCTCAAATCCTGACATTCACACATTTTAAATGCAGTTTATTTAAACATCAAAAATAGTGGCAATTTAAATAGAATTTGATTCTTCATTTCTTAATTTGGTAACTTGTAGAATGACACTTTTAAACTGCAACACAAAATAATGTAGCCAACAGTAACATACAGGTACACCATTTAATATTTATTATATGCATTTTATATACATTATTTTTCAACAGCTGTACTTTTGCTATGTGGTACAATCTTAAAAATTTGCTGATTCATAGTTTGTAAAACAGAAACCTTACAAAACTCATCAAAACTTGCAAACTGATCAGAAAAGTTTTGTGGAAGACTAGAAAAAATACTTTATTGTCTTAATCATGCATTACACAAACAAAATCTTTAGTTACACCATAAACTGAAGCACATCTGGAAAAAAATAAAAGCAGGGAGTAACTAGTCCAAACACAGCAGATTTATGAATCTTGAATCCACTACCTTTGTATTCTATTTGAAACGCAAATAAAAATATTTTTCACTCCAAAAGTTTTGAAACAAGATTGTTTTTCTGGAATCAATTTCACTCCAGGTATTTAACTGGAAAAAAACCCTTGGTTTGTAATTTTAGAACTATGAAATGTCCCATTTTAGTCTATTTTAGACTGTTCAATGAGTGCCATAATAGATATACAGGGCCCTTTAACACACTACATAAAAGGATATAAAGACCAACAAAAAGTGAAATAAATAACAATAGGCCATTAGCAAGATGGGTAATCCTTGATAAATAAACTCGTAAATACAGTAAGATGTACAAAATATCACATAGTGATAGGATGCCAAGATTAATTTTTAAAGAGTTCATTGAAGGGTGTTAAACCCCTCTGTGTTTCATTTAAACACATTTCTTTACAGTCCTATATTTATGAAGACAGTTATGTGATGATGATGAATTAGCATCCTTATGAAAGGACTTAGCTGAGCTGTATTAGGCAAAAGAAGGGAAGAGTGTGGTTACACAGCAGCGGGTCAGTGAGATCTCTGTGTTTTAGGGTTCTATAATGCAGAAAAAACATTATTGATACAATCTTGAGCACTGTTGTGACAGGCTAAATATATAAAAAGACTTATAAAAACTAGAATTTTATCCAAACATTTTGTGCAACTAATGCTAAAATATTTTAAGTTAAATTTCCTTTTCTTTAAAGCAAAATAAAAGTTTAAAAGGGGAATCTGTGGCATTCAACTGATAAACAGATGATCACTAAGAGATGAAAAGAAAGCTACTCTTGGAGCTCACTTCCCCCCACAAGAGCACCACATTCCTAACCCTAAGGCAGCACGCAGAGTCCAAAATAAAAGTCTTTTGTAAGATCAGACTCCACGTTCGCTTAAAGACACCTAAAGAACAGACATACGCTCAGTTCATATCCAGTCAAGGCTACAAATACTGGTTGTCTTTTTTTTTTTCCTCAAAAATACAGTAATTACAGTTAAATGAATGAGCCTGACATTATTCAAGATGTGGTGACTTTTCACCAACTTATACCTGCCCCACATACAGCCTTTGCCCAGGCAGATCAAATGTAGTGTCTTATCGGTAACCTTTATCATTGATGGCAGTGACGCATTCCCTCTTTTTTGTCCAAGCAGACCTGCTATTATACTGCAGGTTTGTTTTGCTATGTCACACAAACACTTTGGCAAGGGCATCAGCTCCTGCACTGGCAATATATGCTTTTGATGGATGAAATGCTACATCATAAATTGATTCATCCAACTTTTTCCTATGGGCTGTTATTTCTTGTACACACGTCTTGCTGTCTAAATTCCATAATCTAATGGAACAGTCATGGCCTGTGTAGAAAGAAAATATACAGCATTAGGCTTGCAAATACTTTAAATGTTATATACACAAGATTGCTAAATGATAAAAAAAATCATTAAACTTACTTCCAGACATCAAATAGATTCCATTAGGATCTACTGCTAGACTTGTGACAGCATCCAAGTGAGCAACCATAGAATGGATCATTTTACCTACAAGCAAAAAAGAGTAAGTTTCCCATAATTTATCTTCACCCTTTTTGGCAGAATCACATTAAAGATGCAATGTGCCATCGGGTAGCAGAAAAACAATACAGAGTTTATTAAGTATATAGCCTTAAATCTGACCATGTTTGGTACACATTGTAAACATTTAAGTTGTAAAAATGACAACCTAAAAGATGTCTAATGGCAGACAGTAGTGGGTTTGGGTATCTTGCAAGTAGGTGCTTTCACATTACAAATACCATGTCTGCAAATGTTGGTCACCTTCTTTTTGGCAGTTACAGCAAGAACATCACCGATTAAGCAGGTCTGGCTGGCAACTACATTTTACGCTATTTGGGCTACAAAGCCTGAAAGTCAAGACCACATTTTATACAAAAAAGTATTTTTACTGGAGTTTAACAAAAAAAAAAAAAAAAAAAAATACAGCAGGCAATTTAAAAGTAGCTCAGTTTGTCACAAATCAGACCATTAAAATAAAAGCATATGGAAATCCTCTAGTGTTATACTTTTGATTTCCAGCTTCCAACTGAAGGAAGAATATGAAAAAATTGGGAAATGTGGAAAGTAAGGGTGGCTGCCTTTCTTCTGGGAATATGTAGATCTCATTTATCATTTCTGATAGCTGTGTGCGCACATGAGGAGAAAGAGGAGGGCAAATAAAATAATGTTTTAAAATAAATTTTCACAATATATTCAAAATGATTGCAAATATCCATAAAGCTGTATGTCAGTCATTTCGGTCTGTATGTACCTATAGACATGCACATACACATATATGTATACACACACACAGAGATCACAGACAAAGAGAAAGTTAACATTCTACTGCATTTCCTATTTCTTGATCAAGGGTAAGAACACCTTGTGATATACGTTAGCACAAATTGCTGCATATATTTTTCTATTCCCTCTTTCATCTCATCTTTTCCTGAACTTTATCTGTTTTACAAACTGCATCAGCCATTTGTGATCAAAGGAAACCCAGCCTTCCCAGTAAATTAGGGTATTTTCCTTGTTTCAAAATATCTGTAAGGAAGTGACCTTCACCTTTGACAGACAAGTAAATAACCAATATATGTTTAATGTCAGGGGATAGGAAAGCCTGGGAAAGAAGGCAAAATGAAAGGCAGGAGTAACATACAGATCGTACTTGGACCTCTTTATTGAATATAATTAAAGGCTGCACTCGAAAAGTGCATCCTCTCACTACCCCAGATGCACTTGCCTGAGGTAATCTTGGATTGCTATATGACATTTTAGACATAATTGCAAAGGTTGAAGCTGGTGTCTACTGGTTTACAAAGAAGATCTGAGAACAGCAGAGACTCCCTATGCCTAAAGAAGGGTGCTTGTGCCAGAAAGTTTGCTAATAACTTTTTTCCAATTTCTCAGTTTTGGTCTAATAAAAGATATCACCTCTACCCAAAGAAGCTTTCCTGCCTAAATTATTTTTTGACATTTTGACAACTATACTTACAAAATTCATTGGATCTGAGGAAGTAGGCTATAGCCTGTGAAAGTTCCTGCCTCTCTAAACAAGTTTATCTCTAAGGTACAATTACATCCTGCATTATGCCTGTACTTAAAAAGAAACTGTCTGACCATGAACCAGTGACTGAGCCTGGGGACTCATCTGCCTCTGCTGCCAGAGAACAGCTACTGTTGTCAATCTGCCAGAATGGGTGCACATCCGGGTGCTTTTGATGGTTTTAGGACTTCACTCACCAGTTATGCTGCCAGACTGTTGTTAAGAGTATCCTGGGAAGGAACCAAAAACTGAAGGGACACTAGCTGCTGGGAGTAAACTTCTCACATGTGGCTGCTCTTGGACAGCAGAAGCTACTTTATTGCACTCAGCAGACACAATGTAACTGTTGGCAGAAAGTAAGGTTCTGCTGCTATGGAAGAGCTTTGCCTATAGATGCACTCAATTTTTGCCAGCAGGACAGTAATCAGGCTTAAGCAAGAGGATGTAAAGTATCCAACAGAGAAGCTAGTACAGAAAAAGATGCTTTATTTTCATAAAATCAGCCTAGGTGAAAGTCACAGTGGTTATTAAAAAGGCCTCCTCCTCCCTCCCAAGCTATATATCACCACAAAAAGATAGCTTTACTGAGAAAAGCTGTTTTTCCACTTACAACTTGGTAACAGAACTCCCTGTGAAGGACCTATCATGTTAGTAACTGAAAGAAAAATGCAACTATTACTCCGAACGACGTAGAACTGCTGACAACATTACCAAGACCCTAAGAAATCCTGGGCCATCTTGATCAGGCTTATCTGTTAGGAAACCTGCCAAGAATGTTGTAAGATGAGGCTAGTCCAGAGCAAAGACTGCAATGAATGCTGCTGCTTAAATCTTGGAACTGTGCACAGAATTACATTATACGTTCCCTTTTAAAATCCTAATTCATAAAGATCCTTCAGAAAAAGATAAACTAAAAGTGGTAAATAATTGCAATCATTAAACATATTGAAAACTGTTTTTATAAGCATGCTTACTTTTGATTAGCTGAAACAAAGGAAAACAGGTTGCAACTATTATACTGAGCTTTGTAACAGTGAGAAGGTTTAAAGGTTAAATCAAAGTAGTAGTGATTTTGTATCCAATTTTGATTCCAAAGTTTTTCTTCAGCTTCAGTTTCATCTGATAACTTCAACTATTGCATATATTTGAGGCACCTTTTATTATTTCCAGAGCTCAATTTTGATGTGTGTGTCCATGTACAAAGATATTTCACTAATTTGTTCCAGTCTCCTGGGCCCACCTATTTCAATTTTAAGAACTGATCCTGCCACCAAGTCCCAGATTCAAATAGGAATTTCCAACAATGTACTATTAAACTGAAGAACAGAATGTTTTATATATCAAAAGTAATGATAGGCAGCATTATTTAATATGGTCATAAAAATAGCACTGAGGAAGTTACAGTATCTTGTTACTAAAAGAAGCTAACTTGAAACAGTAATCTAGGCCCTGGTCTCTACTGAATTCTGTAAGCTCCTAATACCTGCAGAGATCTGCTTTGTATATTATTCAGCTGTACATCACTGAACTACATTTAAATATCCTTACCCGTTTTATTGTCAAAAAATTTGATGTGTCTATCTTCATGAGCTGTAATGGTTACAGGAAGCGTGGGATGACTTACTACCCTGTTAATATGATTATTTGATTGTAAACCTGAAACAAACAGCAAAATTATAGTCAGCTAATTATACTACAGTATAACCAAATCATATTTAAAACTAAATCAGTGCATTTTTTCTGAGAAGCAACATCATTTTTTCCAGATTAAAAAGCAACATTAAGAAATAAACAAAACAATAAAAGCAAACTAGTGCAGTCTAAATAAATCACAAAGGATATGCAAATGAAAAAGACTTTAGAATTTACCAGCATTAAGTCTATACATACAATTTTTAGTAGCGGTCCACTGATACTTCAGTCCGATATCAGATTGGGACCGATATAAAGAAAATTTGCTGCATCAGATATTGGCCCGATGGGGCCAATAATTTGGCCGATAAATGCCCGTGCTGCCTGCAGCTGCAGCGCAGCATGGACCACAGCCAGCAGTGTGGAGAGCTGCTGATAAGTCAGAAGGGGAGGGAAGGGGTGTGGGGGCAGATCAACACCCCTGCAGTGAGGGAGGGAGGGGGCAGGTGTTGCCCGGGAGGGAGGCATGGCTCAAAAT